AAGATCAATTCCAGGTTGACGGGGCAGCACTGTATCTGTGCGAGACGTGGCTCCAATCTTCCCGCTCGTCTGTCTCCAGCTCTGGTCTTTCTAGGCCTCCATTAAGCTCCCTGAGCTTTTCATATGACACGGCGATACCCATCAGAAGCTGTATGACAGCATATGGACCTGAGTGACATTTGATGTATGTGGCAGGAGTGAGTGCAGCTCCTCTTTGTGTCTCCCATTCATGTGGTGAGGGCAGGATTAAGACTTGATCCAATAGAGCAGAAGTGGAGAAGAACGAGCTCGGGTCAGATCTGCCTTGAATTAAGTCAGTGTTGCAGCAGGAATAATACACCCACCTCCCCCCAAAACCTTGTAATAGTACTAAGGGGTAACGTATGTGTGTATTTGTTTGTGTGTGCTTTCTGAGCTCGGCCTATGCTGAGCCTGCGACCAAACCACAGACTGGTGTCCTTTACAGAGAAGAGTGGTCTCTGTTGACGGTTCAAACACAGCCCACGGCCCCAGCTTCAAACGGGCCCCCAATCATCGCACCCACTTACAGCCAACGGCGCATGTCACTTAATGTGGACCACACTATTCATCAATTATGGTGAGCTCAGGGGCCATCCAACACCCGCACCACAGCTCCACAAGTAGTGAGTTGTCTTCTTGTCTGACTGAAACCCCCCCCCCTTTACAGTCCTTAAAGCCCATCTGTTGCGAGAGGTGTGGTGTGAGACCGCTAACTCCTCAGAGCTGTCACACAAACAGAACTCCGGCTTTGCCTTCTTCTTTCATGCCGTGTTATCTCGCTCCTCATCCTCCTCCTGTGAATCTGGCTTCCTGAAGCGCGCTTTAAGCTTCATAATAGCTTACTTCTTCCCCCTTCCTAATGTAATTGCCACCCTCGTCCATTCTCACCCCTCCACTCATCCTGTGCACTTGCTTTGAAACATCCCGCAGTAGGCCAATACACACGCCTGTTAAGACACACACAAGTCCACGACCTTAGCCTCTTACTCGCTGTTTATCTGTCCCCTGGCAAGCGAACTAAGTCAAACTGGAACTCATTTAATGTCATTTGATTTTGACGTTTCGCCATAGGGTATTAGTTAAGCCCGAGTGCCTTTTTGGTATCCAAGTGACAGAACGTATGTTAAGGTTGTAAGAGTGAAAATAAATGACTGAGAATGAGAAATGTGGCGACCATATTTAGAATTCCCTTTAAACAGACAGCTGACGGCAGGGCGTGCAAACCTGAACCAGACCACACAACATTATCCAAGTCTCATTCCTCCTCTCCTCCTCCTCCTCCTCCTTCTTCTTCTTCTTCTTCTTCTTCTTCTTCTTATCCCCAGTCTCTGTCCATGAGAGAACTTCCTCCATCACATCTGGACAGGGCTCAGGTCAGGCCAGCCCGGTGTGAGGGGATGAAAGGTGACTCTCATGCTGGCCGGTTCACCCAGCGCACCTCCACTTGAGTTGTGTCTCTCTTATCCCCAAAAGCGGTTCAGCTGCTGGTACATGTGAGGCGGGTTCAGTGTGTGTGAGAGTGTGTCCATCGGAGCCCTAACCTCAGCAGCTGTGTGGGATTTTGTATTCATGTTATCTGGGGGCTTCTTTCCTGGTGTATTTTTTCCTGTCTGTCCTGACACCTTGTTTTCCGTGTGGTGGAGACACATTCTCGCAATAATGGAGGTGAGCTGCTTTATGTCAGCTGCAGTGCTTCAGTATCTGAATTTTCATTCAGAAGTCTGACCAGGCAGATGCAGATGCCTTTTCTTTTAGTCTTTAAAATTTTGGAGAAAAAATGCATTCATGCCTGTTTTTTTTAAGAATAAATAAAGATATTTTTGAGCAAGTTAATATATAAATCCATGTTATTTTTGCCTATTTGTTTTTGGTGTTATGTGGCAATACTTTAAATCAGTGATTAGGAGCACCTAAAGTAATTTGAAAGAAAAATATAAATTGTGATTTGATTTTAAAAAAATATATATATGTACACATATTCAGTCAGACACCCAAAAACCACATGTAGCAATTAATGGTGCATGCCTGAAAACTAGTTAGCAGGTGAGCAAAGAAGTCTGTAGATGCAGTTAGCTGGAAGTAATGGATGAATGGCTAAAAATGTTAGCTAAAAGTAAAGAATAATTGGTTGAAATTGTTAGCTAAATGTAATGAATAAATGCTTAAAATCATTAAAAGTAATGAATACAACCAGTTCAAATAGTTTGCTAAAAGTAACAGTTGACCTCTGTCACTAGTAGTACAAATGCAAACTTTGAACAAACCGGCCCAAACACTGACGGTTCAATTGTGTGGAAACAATTACTGTAACAATATCCGATACTGACATTATAATAACATGATATTAACAGTGTAATATAGTTAATAGTGTTAAATAACATATATTAAGATCAGCTCAAATGAGCACATTTGGAAAATGGCTGGTGGTGTTGATGGAAAAAGGGCTGTGTGGGTACAGCTACAAAAATAATTATTACAATTTTACATCTCATATTCTGGCTGTTTTAAAATGATTATACATTTGGACCACTTCTAAATGATTATCTTGTGCACTATAATAATTACATTAAATACAATTAAACCTACTTTCATTTTTCCATTTCCTTTTTTTTAAAAATGATATTCTGGGCAATTTGTTACATAAATCTACGTTGGACACACAGACATACACAAACACAAAGTCGGATGGGGCAAGCATTGCTTCATAAACAATTGCAGCCACACACGCTCACGCTAGGAAGGAACATGAAAACAGCGCTAATGGGAAAAAGATGAGAGGGCTCACAGCGAGCACACCCAGAGAGAGGAGGAGAGAGCCGGCTGTTGGACACCGCTGTCTCAGCCCTGCTGGCACACACTAACAGCCTGGGATCAGATAGAGAGATTGCTGCCTGAGGTCACATTGTTAACAAAGTCTACTTCAATTGCTAGGTTCAGTTTTATGGATTTTGATCTATGGCATTTGTGTGTTAGTTTAATTTCTGAATCCCATTTTTTGGGGTTTCTTTTGGGGTTTTATCTGTTATATAAATACAGTATATTCCTGATATTTTCTGTATAATTTCTTTTAAAATTAAACACAAAAGTTAAAACAAAGTTAAAAACTAATTATTTCAGCTATCAAAATTAGGTTTCTGAAATATTTTCATTTATTTATTTTACTAAAAAGTACTGCGGAGCATATCATTGTCCTTTAAAAAAAAGTCTTTATTTTGTTAGGAGTTTTTAATAGTTTGGACTCATTTTGAGGTTTTCTGTATTTTGATTAATTCAGTGTACCCTAATATTTCTATATTTATAAATTCAAGTTATTATAGTATTATGTTCCGATTCAGTTAGATTCATCAAACTAATTTAGTAGCTATAACTCCTCCTGTAACAAATAGTCTGAGTCTTTAAATGTTAAATATTTGATGTTGTCTGTGACAAACCAGGTCAGTAAAAATATGTTCAAAACTAATTCTGTTACCATCCCTCTTAAGACGCACAGTTTGGAGCCTTTAATGATAAAAGTGTGATGTCCGTGTAAACCAGCAGTGAGAGGAAACATCCCTGTGCTGTTAAGGAAAAAGTGTGTCATCTTGTTTATTTTCCTTTGGTTTTGCTGTCTTTTCCAGCCCATAGGGCGCGATGATAACAAAAAAATATTGCAGCGTCCACGTCTCACAAGCAGACTGCCCCTCCAGTCCGACGAGGAACCGCAAGGCCCTTGGAACAACATTTTTGCTGTGAGGGAGAGGAGCAGAAGTTACAGCCTGTGTGTTAATGATGGCTCACTGGTGATTCCCTCACATGTTTGTTCAGATTTTGTCTCTCCTTATACATACAGGCACAAATCAACCCTGTCCTGATGATGTCTCATCTTCCAGGACTGATATTTGCCATCGCTGTCGACGCAGTACTGGCCTTGATTTGTGCTATTTTCTGATCTCGGATACTTTTGTGTCCCATATCTCCCTGAAGAAACAAATTTGCCTTCCAAAAAAATTCTCATTATTTTTTTCTCCATAATACCAACTCTATCATTGCTCTCTCTGTGTTATCCGTGATGTGTATCCACTAAGACTGAATAATATTTGGACAGGTGTTCTTTCATATACATTAACTTCAAGGGGTCCAGTGTGCTATTTCATTGCAGTTTCATAAAGAGGGAAAAAAAGCTGCATATCCTGGCTGGTGGACTCTTAAGCCGGTATTATATACTGTAGTCTATACTGTATGTATAATCCCTAACAATAAAAAACTGTTTAGCACCAATTTTCCTTTACTTTTAAAACCTTCTTTTTTCCTGTTTCAGACAACTGCGGAGGCCACATCTGGAAGACAGATGTAGTCCCAAAGCTCTCTGCCTTTGACTCTCGCTCTCTCTCCTCTCCCTCACATTCACTGCTTCTCACTCACTCTCTCCCCGCTCTCTCTTTCTCATGTCTTTTCCTCCCTCCCCTCTCCTTTTGGGAAACTTGAGAGCTGGGCTAATTCTCCCTCTCTCTCTCTCTCTCTCTCTCTCTCTCCCTCTCTCCCTCCCACCCTGGCCGGACCACCCACATTCGGAAACGCCTAGCTGTTCCTGAGGCAGAGCCGCCGGCCGGCAGTTTAGGGAGACAGAGCGAGAGCAACAAGAGAGAGAGAGATGTAAGGATGGGTTATGACTGACGGTTTTAGCAGAGTATCAATTACATCAATGTCAGAGCCATAACCTGCCATTGTGTAAGGAGGAGAGAGTCTGGGAGAGACGTCTGCTTTAGTGCTCTGCTGAGTTTATGAAGCATGAATCCTGAGCTCTTGTTTCTTGCAAGACAACTAACTTTATCAACTCACTTGATTCTACAACATATTAGATGCTGCTTACAAAAATATGCAGCTAAGAAAATAAGTGCTTTTATGCTTAAAGCCTGCCTGCAGTAAACGCTGGACATCCTCAAATAAGATAAAAAAAATACTCCATTAATTCAAAGAACTCAGACAAATAACAGTACAACTTCCTTAAAACAGCAGCTTTTATTTGCTTGGTAAGCAGTAAATAAGTATCTCGCAGTTCACCTCAAACATTTAATCTTCTCCAATATAAAAGTCAATGTCTCCACCATGTGGACGTTTCGTAGTATTGCCTCTTTGGAAAAGTGTTACCATCTGCATTACCACAAAAAGTCTAAAAAAAGGGGTTTAAAGGTTGATACTGATAAGATTTTAATGGTTAATAAATAATGTATTTTTTCCTTAAGGGTCGCTTATAATCACTAAATGACTCATGTTGCCAAGTTTTGAAGTATCTATTTAGCTGCATTTTGGTTTTTAGTTAAAGCTGCACTACTCAATATTTGTATAAGAACAATGGATAAAACCACTACTTGTATGCAAAACGGTTCGCTCATAATGACGATCCCACCGACTCTGCAGTTGCTCTCAGCTCTATGGAGATTTTTGGTGTTTTTCAGCTCATTGTTTTCTTTTTTTGTGGCCCACAATTTTATGGTTTTGGTTCAATTTCACTGCTCTCACGGCTTCTTTTCTGGCCACAAAAGGCACTGAAAACCAACTGCACATTATCTGCTCAACACTGAACACCAAAAAAGCTAGCAGGTGGACAGAGTGGAGCAGCCATAGGGTGAATACTGTAATTACGTTAATCAGATGGCCAGAAACCCGACTCCAAATGGACGCTAATGTTGCTACATATCTGCTGAATGTTTTAATATGCAGCTGCTTACTAACAAGTCATATCAACATAAGAGGGTTATGTTGTGTTCACACAGCTTGTTTCTGCTGCCCCCAAGTGGCCAAGTCCAGGATTAGATCTGTGGACTGAATGGATTACTGTAGTGGAAGATGACATAATTAATCATTTACATTTATACCTTGTTCAGTAAGTTAAACCATAAAGATTAATAACTAAGCTGAGCAATTTATACTAGAGGAAAAAGTAAATTGTCAAACCTGTCAACCCAGCTGTTGTTGGGTTATTACTGATCTATGAATCATTATTTATTAACCATTAATAAAAAATATTTATATATATATAATTTTTATTATTTATTATTATTATTAAAAGCCATTATACAACACAGTATGCTTTATTAGAGTTCAACCCATTCTGAAAGAGAAAATAAGTGCTCAGTGGTCAAGCATAAACACTTCTTTGACATGTGTTAGCTTGTAAGCTAAAAGCTCATTGGTACACTGGTGCTCTGAACACAGTGGAATGACTTTAAGGTGCAACTTCATGCATGATACATTAATATGAGATTATCTCTCATTTATTTTTCTCTGCTTTTCTTCTCCCCACCTCAGTAGCCACTGAGCCCACAGTGGCCCCCATCATACCTCCAAATGGCCCTCCCACAAACAGGCCGACCAGTGCTCCCAGCAGGGCCTCTCTTCTCACAAGAGTGGGCAGCCACCTCAACCAGCCTGTCAGCCTTTCCCACAAGCCCCGGAGAAAAGAGGGAGCAGGGGAGGAAGGTGAGACACAGGCAGAGGGGAAGATACTATCTAGATCCACATTTAGGTCATCTACGCTCCTCTCTGCCTCTTCCCGGACTGCTTCCTTTTCTTCTTCCGTCACGTCTTCCTCTGGTGGTGAGTCTGTGGGAGACACCTGGTCATTGAGCTCCTTTCCTCTCCTCTGTCTCGCTATCTCTACCTGCCTCTCTCTCACTCTTTCCTCAGCCTCCTGGTACAGAGGGCAGCTGAAGTGTTGCATCCCGCTCTCTCCCACAGCCTGCTCAACCTTCTCCAGCAGCTCCTCAACAGCTTTCCTCTCCTCTGGTTCTCCGCTGCGGGTTTCCAGGGTGTGGTAGCGGTCGCCACATCTTTCCACCAGTTCCTTGAGGTCCTTGCGCCATGTGACAAGGTATTCCTCCAGCTGCTCATCCTCCTCCAGCTCCTCGGTGTGGGTGAAGAGTATGATGGTGTTTGTGCTGACTGCAGAGGGACCGAACAGCTCCTGCAGGACGTCCAGCGCCTTGGCTTCTTCATCAGCTGGCTGGTTCACAGGGACACACAGCAGGAAGGCATGTGGTCCAGGGCTGGAGAGGGTGATAAAGGAGGAGATGTGTCTTCTCCTTTCCTTTGGGTCGCAGCCTGAGCCGAACCAAGCTGGACTGGAGACCACCACCACCTAAAGAGAGGTGGCAGACGCATAAAATCAGGGTTGAATAACATTTGCACAACTCATATATTGCTTTTGAAATACATTAATGATATAGACTGTTAAAAGTAATAGAACATTGGATAAGTAGGACTTAGTATAGATCACTGATTCTCAAACTATGGTATGTGTACCACTTGTGGTAAGCATGCTCCCTCTAGTGGTACGCTGAGGAATCTCTGAATTTAAAAAGAAAATTCAATGAATTGATTTAAAAACATATAATTCTGTAAAAATACTACAAAATTTTGAAAATACATAAACTATAATATTTCTGCAATGTAAGCTTTGCATTTCGTGTAATATTATCTTTCAATATCAGCCTGCGATATAGGGACGTTCATGCACGTAGCACACGTATACATCCAATGTATAGTTACAAGCTGAAATGGTTAGATAGTAAGCGGAGGTAAAAGGAATAGTTCAAAAACACTTCAATCATGGCTCCAAACAGGAACTACTGGGAGGAGAACTGTGAACCAGGAGTACTCTTTTTACAACAAATTAGCTGCTTCTTTAAAGACAGGTATCTATAAAAAAGTGGGACAATAAATACTTGTGCATGCAGGTATGTTGATGTATGCATGTATGCATACAGATGTATAAGTACTTAAGTGGCTATACCTTTCTTTCTTTTGTACTTTTTGAACTTTTGTATTTGTGTATAGAGCAGAATCCATAAAATATGAAATAAAAGTACACGTGTATTGATTGCATATGATGTATACTCACAGTAGGCCCGTTAAAATAAAATAACATTATGTGAAGTTATTCACTTTTTAATTGCTCTGTAACTGTAATCATCACTTAATATAGGTCTGAGACCATTGACAGTGTATATAATGGACAGAGCTTCCGGGTCTGAAAAGTGAAGCCAACACTGAAGTGTCTTAAACCTGCATTCTATGTAAAGGCCAGCAGGGGGAGCTCCACTGGCTGCAATAAAAAAAAACAATACCATTCTGTTAATTCAAAATGGAGAAATGACTTTTCACTTGATTTATCAGTAAACAGTTTCCTAATGAGTTTATGGTCTCAATCTCTAGTTTCAAGTCTTCTTCCACACAGCATGATGTTCATTTAGTAAATGATGGTCCAATTTAGTGTAAAATAGACCACAAAGCTGTGTATGCTTTAGGGTGTGGCTACCTTGTCATTCTCAGTGAGTCCGTCCAGCACAGGGCATGAAACTCAGATCAAACTGTCAAACTAGGCAGTGCTGATCAAATAAGAAGCAAGATTCTGTTACTGTGTTGTCTTTTTCTCACCTAAAATATTTTCAGCAACATATTTCAGTGTACTGTTCAGCTGTAATACATTGTTTCCTGCTACGGACGAGTCGAAACTGCACAGCCAATGAATGCAGCTTCAGCTCGCAGTACGTCACATCTGCTGGCTCCGTCTAACTGTCATGGCGATGGCCAAAATGCAAAAACTGAAGCTTTCAAAACAGTACTTCACAAATCTATGGGTGATGTCACAGTAGGTTCACACTTGTCCCAGAGAGAAGATTTATATTGCTCATTGCATTCCTTTATTGTTATTAAGTTATTATTCTTGAGACTTTAATATCCAACATCATTTTTAATACTATTTCTGGCTGGCATTTATTGTTCTGTGGCCATTAAATGTTTTTACACTCATTAGTTACCACTCTGTACCGTCGTTTACATTGTCAGTGGCGGGGTCTGCCATTCCCACACTGGATTCAAACTGTCTGGAGAGAGAATTTACGCATACATGCAGGATTTTAACACGTCAACCAACCGGATAAGATTTTGTCTTTTGGCCCTTCTTGTTCGCAGTTCCCTCCACAAGTGATTGCACTCAGGATAAAGACAATGTTTATAAACTTCTTTATCAGAGATGGGAGTGATGAAGGGGTGATTGTTCAAGACAGATTCAAATCTAGCAGCATTTACTGTCACTATGATGGAGACAGTAAATATCCAAACTGACTAATATGATTTTCTGGCTGTTATACGTGAATTCCTGTATAGCCTCTATGCCCTATGAAACATTCACCCTTGCCTTACTGGCCTCAGTAAGGCAGTTCAACTTTTAAAAAGATACTTTTTCCCTTCAGTCATTGTCTCCTGATGTTTTCCATGTGTTTAATTCCCACCTGCCTGCCTGCAGCCTCTCCTCTGTGCTTGCTGCACTCCTGGGTGACGGTGGCATCAGCGCCCTGCTCGAAGTCTTGCAGGCCCAGGATGTTGCAGACTGCATGTCTCTTTCCTGCCCCAGACCGACCCAGCACCACCAGCCTCAGCTCTGCTCAGCAGGACACACACAACAGTAACCAGAAATAAAATACACAATTAAGGTTTTCATGAGAAATGACTGCTGTCCAGAGAGAGTTTATTTAAGTGCACTGGTGGCATTTGATGACAATAAAACTTGAATTATTATATCCACAAGTGACAGATCACTAGCCTCCTCTCTGCTGTTTACTTTGCGTGCTGTTTCTACTAATAGTGATCAGCTGATATGAATGTTATCGTCATGTGTGTCATCAATTTCCAAGCAGTGGCAGCGCCCTTTGCAGCTGCCGTGTCTTCTCATCTCCAACCGCACAAATACCGAAAACACGCACAAGAGGAGCCACCGCGCCTATGACTTCCCCCCCCGATCATGTGTCACAAAACACAGCTTTAGAAATACATTGAACAAGAACTACCCAGCCTACCCGACTGTGAAGCAGATGCGGACATATCTGCTCCTGTTCGCTGCCGTATTTAGTGTTGATTCAGGGATGATCGCACTTCCTAGTTCCTGCAGGCTGACTCAGTCCTGCTGCTGCTGCCTCTGATCCCGGACTCAACTTGACTGACTTCAGCAGAGGTGAACACAGCTCCATCTGTTGTGGTGGCTGATGAACGCTAGAGCTTCTCAAACCGTGGCCCCGGGGCCCGCCCAGGGTCTGCTGGGAAAGTGGCAAAACAGTTTTCTTATCATTTGAGCCCACCAGTGTTTTGTCACATTAGATATGAGTCGTTCGGACTGCACGGAATATTTTGATGCAGTGAGTTTATTAATGTGACTGTTGTATGCATTTATTATTTAATAAAACCAGTGGTGGAGGCAGTATTCACATTATTACCACACTGCTAAAATACTTGTGCAAGTAGAAGTATTGCATTGAAAACAAAAAGTGAGTATAATCAGGAAAATGTACCCAAAGTATGAAAAGTAAGAGAAAATGTGGCTTGTGACTATTAGGCTATATTACTACTCATGCATTCATTTAAAAGCAGAATTTTCTTTTGTAGTTGGTTACGGTGGAGCTTATTTTTAAACTATTTTTAAACTATTATTTTCATTATGGATTGTTCTGCTGATTATTTTATTGATTAATTGTTTTTGTTTTGTAAAAAGTCTGTAAATAGTGAGAAATGACTTCACAATTACCCAGAGCCCAAAGTGAGGCCTTCACGGTGCCTTTGTCCAACATTACAGTCCAGAAAATGACAATTATGATGAAAATAGTTATAATAATAAATGTTCTATTGACTGATTAATAGACTAATTGTTTCAGTTGTACCTGTACTGTTTGGTAGTTCAATCACAATAACAAAGCATAATATTTGATAAGCTATTGGTTTGTATGCAGGCACAGTGGCGCTTTATGAGCTGAATGCTAACATCAACATGCTAACACACTATAATGTTTATCATGTCCATCAGCTTATTTTAGCATGTTGCCATTTGATAAGTAGCACCAAACATAGAGTACAACTGAGGCTGAGGGGAATGTCATTACAGTTCATCCTGTGGGTGAACAACTGATGTGTGTACCACATTTCACAGCAATCCATCCATTGTTGACACATTTCCACTGAAAACCAAAGATGTCATGGTGGTGTTGCAAGAACACGCAGAGGATCACCAAAGTAGTTAGGATTCATCCTCTGGGGATCATCAATGTGTCAACTACATTTTGTGGCGATCAGTAGAGGTTGTTGAAATATTTCAGCCTGGTGATGAACCTACCGACCAGCATTAACCCTTAGAGCCACACTGCTAGCATGGCTAATTCATAAAATAGTAAGGGCTGAGTCGGCTGCAGCGACCCAGGTTCGATGTCCAACCTGCAGCCCGTTGCTGCACGTCATCCACCCTCTCACTCCACACTTTGCTGTCTCTCTTCAGCTGTTACTGTCTAATAAATGACATTTTAAAAAAGCAGAATTTTGGAACAGATCATATTTTAATGGTGCCATTTTGTTAAATGTCTGACAGTGATTTGTTTTGAACAGCTCCTGATTACAACAATATTGCACCTAAAGATGTTTTCATTCACTTTTGAAATTCTACAGTACAGTCAAAATCTAAATGCTGTATGCACAGCAAAATATCAAATGTATAAAACAGCAAGGCATGACAGCACCTTTTTACATGGTAAAAGAAAAACTAAGCAGGTGTCATATATATTATGTTATGTTGTTGATGACCAAAAGACAACTTAAATGATCCTGAACATTTCAGTAAAAAAATTTAGACATGTGCAGAACAGTCTCACACTAACAGTCAAACCCTCACAGCTAAACAAATGCACACAAACCTTCAGTAGAGCACATACAAGCATACACCCATTCATACAGCACACTGTACAGTAACAGTAAAACTAAGCTGACATGCCAAGAAGATTAACGTGTTCAGTAAAATGTTTCATTTAAAAATATAACAATTAGAAAATTAAGAGAACAAGGTTTTTAAAAAAATACTTTAAAAACATGTTGACGCTAGAAATATCCGAGTTTTCAGATGCCAAGCAGTGGCTTAAATTAAAGTCCAAGGGTCACTCCTGTAAGGGACCACTCAGTCAAACATTGTTGACTGCCGATGCCAAATCCCTCCACATAGATGATCATCCTTCACTCACAGCCCAGGCATGATGTAGGCAATGTTGTCCAACGTGTTTGACTGACAGAGAAAGAGAGAGGGCTTTGTTAGAAAACTGAAATAAAGATGCACTTCAATCACTGGCATGTGTGTTGAATGTACACTTGAATGTACACAGAGACACAGTTCATACAGTACAAACATTAAGCACTATTATAAAGAATTTATGATGCTAAAAACACAAACAGTTCATGACGAATAACACATTTATAAATACTAATACCATACCAGGACGTTTCGAGGACATCCGTTTAACTGTGGTATCTGTGCTGTGAGACATGTCAGCGGTCCCAGCGCACACAAGATGGAGTCCAGTAGTACAGATAGACTCCCAGACACTGCCACCATCCCCTAACACAAAGAAACATCACTCACAAGTGTCACTTATTCCACTGCATAGTAATAATCATGTTACACACAAACAGAGAAGGTGGTGCTAGACTCCTAAGCTTCTTTTATATTATGTCTGTTTCAGATATTTATTAATTTACTAATATGCTGTCTTTATGTTGCAATTGTTGTATAAATGTTAATAATATGCATGTGGAAATGTACCTCTGTTTCCTGTAGCCGATGCCCAATCAAGGACAGGGACTCTCCCAGTAGCTGCAGGTGAGCCGCTGCATCAATGGGATCCACATCTGGGATTCGGGCTGGGGATAGGGACACAGTGCTGGGCGCTCTGTTCGGTGACACCATCCCTGTTCCCGTTCCGGCAACTTTCATGACTAAACACAAACAGTAAGGAGAAAGACGGTGAGAGGACAAAGAGTTGATAGATGATTGAGTTGATAACATTTTCCTTATCAATCGGTGAAGACTTTCATGGTTCAGTCCAAGGTACCTTTGCTTTTGGTCTCAGTGACACTCTTGTGTTTGACTGTGGTGGCCACAGCTTTGTTCTGCTTGTGTTGCAGATACTGAGCTTTCTGTCTCCACACCTGCACGGGAGAGCAAACAGAAAACACAGGATGTCTCTGCATCACTACTCCAAGCTTAACAGTGATATTCAAAAGCTTTTCCAGCGTCAATTACAAACAAGAGAAAAAAAACCAACAACTTACTAATTTGTCTTTCTCGGGCATCGCCTTCCACACCTCGGCCAACTTTTTGCTTAGCTCACCAAAGACTGCAGATGAGACATACAAACATACTGTTTAATATGTGTATTTTAGTGATATTTGAGAAGACAATATGCCAACCAATGTGAGTATAAGAGTTATACTTAATACATTATAGCACCCACCTAGTCCTGGCTGCTCTGCATTTATGTTGACCCTGTACTCCTTACAAAATACGTGATATGCTGATGTGATCTTGGGCTTCTTGGGCTGAGAGAGGACGACAAAACTCACCAATAATGCAACAAACACAGATGCACAACGTAATACACAGATATGTTAGTTTTCTCAACAAAAACTGTTGGCTAGTAAAATTGGTCAAAGTGTGTTTGCATAGTCAGCGAAACAATACTGCTTTGACAGACGTTGGTCTCGTGTAATAGAATCCTAAAAGCAGCATTTGCAGGAGGTTCAATAGGGTGTTTGGTTTAATGCCAGTTACTCAACAATGCAAAGCTCATTTTCCAGTTCTGCAACTTTAACTACCAACACTGCAAGAAATGTGACAGAACTTTGTCTCACCTTATCTTTATCCTTCTCGTGTTTTTCTCGATCTTTCTCCTCTTTCTTCTTCTTCTTCTCTGTCACTACATCATTGCCTTGATGGTGGTGGGGAGGGACGGGCGTGCCCATGGCATACATTGGACCAACAGCGCTGTGAGTGACAGTGGGGTGGGAATGGCTGTGGCCCCTCGATGAGTCTGATGAGATATCAGAGTCATACAAAGATAAAGCAGTAGTAACGACAAGTATTGTACTGATACGTTCAGCTAATGGTTCAGTTTGATCTTTCATTCTGGGTTCAAAGAACAAAAAGCCCTTATTTGGTGGCCCCTATTTTTTTTGTTTCATATTTTAAAACTACGACTTGTCCTTTACACTTCACAGTATGAACACTACTGAATTCAGCTGGGCTCAGAAGAATGACACTAACTTGCAAGTCTCTAACTTTCTCTTGTTCATATCAAAAACTGAAATGTATAATTAAAACAAAACAAAATATTGTGATACTCAAGTGTACGGATATTTCCTTCCACCCATAATCAGCTGTAAAGACAACTACAACACATTTGTTAACAAACTGTAAACTCACCACCAAGTCCTTTGCTGTGCTTTTTGTCCTTTCCACTTTTCTCCTTGTCTCTGTCTTTTTCTTTATCCTTCTTCTTCTTGCTTTTTTTGCTCTTCTTCTTCTTTTTTGACAAGTGTGTGTATGAATCATCTATAACCAATTCACCAGCCTCCAGTTCACCCCCGGATGAAGAGCTATCATCTCCCATGCCACCTCCATAATGACCTGTATGACAAAGAACACAGCAATGAATATCAACATACAAAATATGTTTGTCTGAATAATTTATAGTGGTATGATACACTGGGACAACAGGTGTACCAATAGTATATATAGCAGCAATATTTGTGCCAATAAAGGTCCTTAGTACTTGTTTGATCGGCTAACAAACCAGCCTGATTCAGATACAACAAGTTTTAATGGAATTATCAATAATTGATCATTTGCCCCTAATAACTCACACAGAAACAGCATTATAATCAAATATTATAGTTATGCAGAGATGCCCTGGCCTACAAATCTTATTCTCCAGATTTCAGAAAACATACTACAGACCCAAAGAAATTTCACATCATCATGAATTTAATAGTTTTTTTCAGTGAAAATTAAATTCGTAATGCAAAAATGCTAATTCCCATCTGTCAAAATGTTTGCAATATGATATTTTACCATATATATATATATATATATTGCAGCCCTACTAATAATGCATGGGGTAAAAGCTGAAATGCACTTATTATTACTTCATAGTCAAGATTAAACTGCATCATTTTCTATCAATGGAAAGGTATACTGAT